CAATTGTCTGAGGGACAACAACCCAGCCCCAGGCTCAAAAAGGTTGCCTACCCCTGGTTAATACTCTCTGTTCACTGTGAAGTTACTCCTTTGGTTTAAGATGGGAGACAAAATCAAATTTTCTTCCTCTACTAGTGCATGCCATTGTGGGAGGAATCAGAGTTATAAAAGCAATTCTAACATTAAACTTACTCTCCCACAGCTCCACTCCTATAGGATCTTTGCTGTCAGCAAAGAAAGATACTACTATGCAACAAACCATAAATTGTAGACTTTCTGAATACTGTTTACCAACTCCTTTTCAGTTATATTAGCAAGTGGATGAAAAATGAGCATGCCTCAAATGTAACCATCAGCATAAAGCACAAGGAGCAGTGAAGTTGAGTACCGCAGATATCATCATTGCCTCAACCAATGAGAAAACAGTTTTGTCATGAAAATCGCAATCTTTGAACTGATTTTTAAAACATAGAAGACCAATAGGATAAGAATATAAAAAATAGAACACCTAACTAATGATGAGCTGCTTAAAAGTAACACTACCAAAAATGGGATTTAAAAGAAATTTGAGTATTTCTTTTACCATCAGTTTCCTAATATCAGAAAGCACACAAAATAAGTTATACTACCATCATTTCTTTACAGTTTATTAGTAACTCTATCACACCAATTAAATATCCTCCAACATTTCACAAGTGAAACTTGTCATATATGGGGCCAAGAAAAATCAGAGTGGAGTCAAAATGGCAAAACTTATTAATGAGGAAGGGAAAAAAAACAAGCTAAGAGATACTGCAACAGTTTGCTTTTGCATGAGCCGACTGGGAAAGGCAGGTTTTCATCCCCTCCTCTCCTTTCATCCACTGCCTAATGTAAACTAATTTTGGCATTTTTAACACAGTTTGCAGAAACTGAAGTAAGCTGACAGTAAAGTGGGGTGGGTGGGTGAGAGAAGTAGAGAGAAACTGGGTCATTTTAAAATCAACTGAAAAAAATGGGATGATAGAGGATTAATCAGGACATGTGAAAACT